AAATCCGATTCTTTAAATAAAAAATTTATTATTTCTATTGATAAAATAAATAGGAATTTTCTCAAAATGTAAATTCTGATATTGGAGAAATTTGCATTTAATAAATAAATAATTCTAATAAATTAATTAAACTAGCAAAGTTTTATATGAAAATAAAAAGAAAAGTAATAATTTATTTTCTAGCTATTCTTGCATCCCTTTTGTATAAACCACTTTCAAGTATTTTATACCTTTCTTCCTTCTCCTTGTCCCATCCATGTTTCCTAAACCAAATGAAATCTTTCTTGAGAACTTTAACTTTAAGATGTAAATGCTCAATGTTTCTAGCATTGCCATGATTTAAAGTCATTCCTATATATCTAATATTATTCCAATATGCTTTACTTAATCTCACTTCTTGTTCTAAAATCTGTAATGCTAAATAAAACATGCTAAAAATTTCTTGATTGTTGCATTGAGATAATCTTTCTAGATGTCTTTTAGGTGTCACTATGAACATTGGTCTTGCTTTAGCATCTAGCCATAAATTGTGCAATTTTAATGAATCATGAGTATAAGTTGGAAAATTTAATTTAGATATTTTATTGGTTTCTGATTCTTGATCACATGAAATACAATGAAATCTAGGTTGTGGAGGATGTCTTGATTTATCTACTTCAGTTATCTTTACATAAAATCCTTGAATTTTCTCTCTATTTTTTTGAATAATTTCTCTGATTTTAATGGGTTTTTTTTGTTTCGTATCTTCTTTCTCTGGATCTTGTTGTTGATTTTTATTGATTGGATATTCACTAATAAAAAATTTATAGTCCATGATTTTTTCTTGTACTTCAATTCTATCTATAATATGACGAAAAAATTCAACTACTTGGTTGTAAGTCTCATAATTATCTTGAGAAGGATCATAATCTATTCTGCCACCATAAAAATCTAATAAGCGACAAGGAACTTCAGGTACAAAAATAAAAGTCTTTCCGTTAAGCCATCTTGTTTTATGTAAATAATTATTCTTATTATTATAATGATTATAATGGTTATAATTTCTAAAATTTTTTGAAGGCTTATATGAATTTAATTGTTTGTTATTATTTGATGACTTGTTCGTTGAGGGCTCAACACCACTCATTATTATTATTTTATAGTTTGTCCTACGAAAAGGTTTGATTACGACTCTTAAATCAATCACACAATGTTGATCAATTATAAAATTTTTTCCATGTATAGGTTCAATAACCGAACAAGTTATAACAGGTCAAAGAGCCTTTTAAATTTGCTAATAAAGTTATAAGATTTTAAGTCCTAAGTTTTTTT